CCATCGAGAGCAGGAGATTCTCTGCTTCATTGGCCATATTATAAAAAATAGTATGCATAAATAATTAGTCTCTGCATTGTAATCTCTATCGCACATTATTTCCGATGAAACAACATATCTGATTTATACCGATCCTTTGCAAGGGTATGTCATAAAAAATGCTCTCAGAACACCCTCCGACATACACTTTTTTCACACTCACTTACGATGTCGCTCAAAACATCGCTAACTAGCTATTAGAAGTACTCTTGCAGTGCACTTGCATTTGCAACAAATTGTGGTAAATCACAATCTATTTGATCGGGAATCATATTCCTGCACTTAATCTATTCCTAAAATAAATCCTCAGCATGAAGCTTAAAGCATAGTTTAATTTTACAAATATATTTCAGATATAAAAATTTAAATTAAAAAAATATTACATTTCCGTAGCTTATCGGGACTGACATTTTCCCGTACACATTTAGTCAAATTTAAATCCTCCGAAAGTTTACTTTCAATCGTCGCAGATTGTTGGTAATTCATTCGCATTTGTAACTTCTTCTTCGAAAATGTTTTCTGCTTAGCATCCGCCTCGATCGAATACCGCTCCGTAATCCACCAAGATATGTCTCAAAGATTATCATTTAATTTTGATTGAACTTTCAACTATCGGAGATATTATCTATCCGCCTGAGTGGCGTAGTAAGTAAGAGATCGCGATTCAATGTTCGTGGGTTCAAATGTCAAATGCGTTAGGGTTTCCAATAAGAATGCAAGCTAGTGCTGAGAATTCATTTCGTTGGCTAAGTTAATAACAATAATATATAATATATTATCTATGAAGACTAACAAGGAATTAATGGAAATTATTTTTAAAGACAAGATTTTCGTAACCTTTGCAAACTTGACCTAAGGCCTACTTGTAAATTTTCTCTTCTCTCTATGCACGGAGACCCTTTCGGGATATTTAGCAGTAACTTGCTTTTGTATATTATATATCATATCATATATTACATTTTAAACTATTAACAAGATAAATTTCTCATGCTTTTTGGTCTCTAAAACAATAGGATACACTTGCTAAATGTCTGCTGAAAATTAGTCTACGCGACGAGACTCATCTTACTCTGCCTGATGACGTGAATAGGCTAAGCTATCCCCGCTATATCTTCGAAAGCACAAAGCAAAATGTGAAACAATCTTCCGTCAACTATAACATAATACGCAAAAACCTCGACCGCGGCTGTGACTGAGTTGCAACTAAGCTCGAAAAAGCTACTGATTCGACCGCTGCAATAAATGACAGGCTTACCAGACATTTTGGATTGTTTTTTTTTTTTTTTTTGTACCGATACCGGTACCGACGCAAACCAACGAAAAGATGTTGACAGCTTTCATTTTCAGCAAAAATACGACGACATCTCTCACGTAGCTTACGAGTGATTGGTTTTAAATAAGAAATTTTTTCCAATGCTTGGGATAGCCAACTGAAGTTTGTATCTGTTTTATAGAAAAAGTGCCGAATTTTCCCTTTAACTAATCGATTTTCTCATTTTTCTTAATCCGATATTCAATTCACTTACTCAATGGCAAAGTCTAATTGCTTTCAATGCATTTTTAAATAATTTTATCTCATTTTGTTTCATATTGAAAACGTCTTCCCTGACGACTGACAGACAGTCCATGAAGGAAAACATATAGCAAAACGATTAAAAGGATTCATTTTATTTAAATTTCATGATTCTTCTCAGGGGCACGTACTCTATTATAAACGGTCTTGTGACCGAAAATCTTGAATGACCTGAGCCTTCAATGACAGCAAGTGCTAAATATTTGGTTCGATGAAAACATAATTGAATTAAAGCTGATTCAAGCCTAGGATAATAGGATACTAAAGAACATCTTTATGTGACTTGTTATGTCTGCTTCAAATATCGCAACAGTTGATTGCAATTGATTTTCAGAAAACATTTTTTTTTTAACACACGTTACTTAATCGAATGGTTTTCCTCAATATATGACGAGAAAAAGAAAGTAATGGCAGTAGTTTCGAGCAAAAAATGGGCGTGTATCAAGTGTGCATTTTTGAATTTTAAAAAAGGAACGAATAACAAGCTTATCATAACAATAGACAGCACAAACTACAGTGATTAGCTCCAAGAGTTGCCATATATTCGATGAATCTCAAGTCAAACTATATTAAGTCTAGGAAATTGGACTGAGATCCGAGGTGAGAAAATGCATTTTTTATCGGATATAGAAGTGGGTCTTGATAAAATTTATACTTTCTGTTTTTGTATTGCATTTAATCGATTTATTTGCTATAATGCGGCATAACCCATATGATCATCGTATGAAGAAATAAACAATTGCAAGTCAGGCGAAGAGCTCTCTTTGTGGATTATGGTTAATGTCGATGTTGTTATTTCTGTTGTTATTTTTTTTTGCATTTTCATTTTTTGTTTTTTTTTTTCCTTTTTTTGTTTTTCTTGTGGTTAATGCATAAACTGTGCGTATAGCACAAACGTTTACATGTTTATAAGTTTATAGATTTCGTAGAAGTGTGTTTTGGTGCCTGCGGTGTGCATGTGTTTGTTGATGTTGGTAAAGCGCACGCGCGGTCTTTCATCAAACGCTGTGGATGCGTTAGACTGTGCGGTATAGTGGTGGTGATATTCCTGGTTGCTATGATTGTTATTGTTGTTATTGTTGTTATTGTTGTTGTTATGATTAGTATTACCCACAAAGCGTGTAATTTTATTTGCACATCCGCAGACCGCTAAAAGTTGCCACAATTAGTTGTATGTTGCTGTTTACATGCTGTTTGTAAAACGAAAATGAAAGAAGAAAAGAAAAAAAAAGAAAAAAAAAAAAAAAAGACAAGAAACGCGCTCACACAAACTTTTGCGGCCACAAAATAAACATAAAGACAAAAATATTGTTTTATATATGAATGACTGCTTTGTTATATGCTGGCTGATGCTACAACGGCTGCCAGCCCACCAAAGCGACATATGCGGAAATATGGAAATTTATTTTGTGTGTTTATAAAGCCTACTCACTAACGGACAGATAGACAGACTTTACTAGACATTACATTGTATTTATGTTCACAGTTATTTTCTTCTAAAGACTAGCAGCACCAGCAGCAACAGCAGCATCAGCAGCAGCAGCAACAGCAATACCAACAACATCAGCACCATTAGCACCGGCAGCTCCCTCATTTATATTTATGTTAGGGAAAAGTTTGATGCGCCCATCAAGTGTACAATAAATTGCCTACAAAATATGGACCACAAGAGGATATTGCGAAGAGTGATAGATTATCTAAAGAAACACCTTTTGTTAAGATCAAAATGATTTTTCAGTTATTATTGTTTTTCATGCTGATTTAAAATTCTAACAAATTGTTTGCTTTCTGTTTAACACTACAGACAGTACGTTTGCATCTATTTGATGCTAACTAACGACAAACAACGCAAACATGTCTGGCTCCAAGTTAAATTTAACAGGCAAATGGCGCGTGGGCTTTACTATATATGAGTGTACAAAAAACTTGTCACAAAAACATTTTTTTCTCTTGTTTTTTTGTCTATTATAGATTCACATAATTTGAATAAGTGCGTACAGATAGATATAGAAAATATGTATATGTGTATGTAGGCAGAGAGAATGTGTATTACACCCAATATATTCAATGTGATATTGTAGGCATATAAGCCTAACGTAACACTGAAAAAGTTTAATCAATCGCTCAACAACGAAAAGGTGAGAAATTATCAATACATGCTGCAACGATCTGACATACTTAACAGCAGCAACTCAGAAATCTATATTCATGCGAATACAGCGAATTTTAGATACCTTCCTTCACAGCAAACAACATTTGATTATAATTGTTTTAAACGCTTTTAGTAAGCATTTTAATGCGTGTGTATCGTTTTAAGTATACAGTGAACGGTATTTGTACGCTAAACCCAATTTTTTCAGTTAAATGATGTTTGCAACAGTTTTCGAAATATGCAATGGTTTCGGGGGCGCGGCGAAATATATATTTCTTCTCTTATGAAAGTTTTTGTGCAAATTTATTAAAATATTCAGCGTGTACTGAAAACAGTACATGTGGTATGGCAATAGCGACTACTCGTAAACATTTTGATAGAGAACTTATTAATACTTAATAAGAGGTGTGTCAAAAAAAAAGGTGACTTTTTATTTTTCGCATATATTGCAAGTTACTAATAAATCATTTTTGCTTTCTTCCTAGATGAGTCAATTTTATAACTATCATAATTGATTGATTGATTCCTCTCTTGATCGATTACACTTACCTTTCAATCGAATACATAGATTAGACTCGAGTATTTTTTAATTTATACACTGTTTAGATGCGTTCATCTTGCGATTAGGTTCTTTAGGGAATCTTGGAAATCGCGATCGATTGCAAATTGTAGATGAAATATTTAAATGAGGATCTCAATAATTTTCTAACCCTAAATAGTCGTTATATTTACCGAGTCTCAAATGCCTATGTCTAATCTCAAATAGACGAATGGACAACCGGTTATTCAGTTAAAAAGTTTCAAATAATTCAGATTATCTTGCGAAAGGGGAGAATGGTCTTTTATATCCCCTAAACTGTTTCACTGTGATGATGTCAAACGAAATAACAAAATTAATATATCATCTACAAGTACACGGTGGGTACAGAGATACATTTTTATTGAAATAAATATAATTGCCGTTCGCATTCACACACACATACAAAATATATGTATGCTCTTAATGTTTAGCATCTTGTATAGATTTGAATGAAGCAATTCGCTTGTTGATCTCATATCCCTTACTTGATACCTGTGTGCTTGCTCGGCTATCACACATATCTTCAACCCACATAAGCCAATTTGTTATAATAAAAATGTATTAACCTCCGCTTCTATTATTATTATGTCATTATCTATCTTTTCTTGCTTGTTCGTACATTAAATTGATAAATTATCTGCAAATGATTTACTTACCTGTTGAATCAAATTTCACAAGAATGCAGTCACCATCGTTCATGCCACACTTAAATACAGCACCTGCTTCGACAACACCTTTCTGAAATGATGAGGTATCAAATTTAGGAGCACCGACCACTAATCTGAAAACAAAAAAAAATTAATAAATTAATAAATAAATAAACAATAAATGAAATAATATTAAATAAACAATTACATAAACGCTTTTAAATTGAAGTTCATTAGCCATCCCCAAGTAAATTATGTATGTGCTCAGTTACAATTCAGCATTTTTTTCATTTTCTTTTTCCTTTTTCGTATTTTTTTTTTTTTTTTTGTTTTGTTTTTTTGTTTTTGAGTTACGCAAATGCTGTTGACTTTGTATGCATTGTAAGTCATTGTGTTATTGTTGCTGATGTTGTCTGACTTATAAATAAAACTTAAATGAATGATACAATGGCCCTTAATCAAGTTATTTAACATAAAACTATTTTAATCATAAATTTAAAGTGCTACCCGCCGCCATCACTCTCTTATATCTGCAAGAGATGCCAAACGCTCATAAATGACCCAACGCAATTAAATGACTTACAAGAAAAAGCTTTTCGAAAAAAAATAAAACTGAAAAGAAAAAAAACAACATCACAAAGTTTATATTCCCATATGGGATCCTATAATGAACTTATAGGCACCTTATTCGAACATTTTATGTCGGTAGATGCATGAATTTTGTGGGGTCTCTGAAGCTTCTTTCTCGCCGTTGCAAACGTTATGACAATATGAATATACCTCTAATCCATCGGTAATGGAATGGGTATATGGAAGTAAAGTATAGCATCAAACCTCGTAAGTTCCATACTTGCTTAGTAAGGGGAAAGGTTTCGAATCAATTTAATCCAATCAGCATTTATTTTCTTCCTTAGTAGATTCGAAATCGAATCGAAACTTGAAATAGAAGTTTTATACTTAGCTACTCAATTACATCTTGATGGCTGCCCAAAGTTGAAGTTTTTCAGAGAGAGTGTGATTGGTCTAAAACTATAAAACTATAACTAGCAAACTCTTGTATACCAAAGCAAAGAAGCGCTTACGATGAATCCCTATATAATTATACTCATAATAGAGAAAAAAAAATTCTCAAAAGGTCAGGGAAGGAATACTCCCGAGTTATCGGTCAACTAACACATCTATAATTAATTATCATTAGATTGTATAGCTTCTAAGATTTTAATTTCAAAGATTGATTTGGATGCATTTGCAATTTTAGCGTGTACTGTAAACGGTACACGTGGCATAAAACCCACGCAATTAGAAGAAAATTATTAGTAAAGTCTAATTAAAAAAAATTGAAATAGATTACGTTTTCAATAGAGCAAATACATTCATACATTCTTTTCGTTAAGGAGCAGCTAACACTACCCATCTAACTTGATATATAATATTTGCTCAACATTTTCATGCTAATAAACAGTTATAAGTAAATGATCAAATGAAAAACAATACATACGATACTGGAGTTAAAATAGAGTGACAACCGTTCTGCTTTTCTGATTGCAAATATATATCGTATTGGATGCGCTTTGATGAATTTCTCTAATAGTTTCAATTAAACCTTTTACAAAAAACTCTTCAATCAAAAATAAAAAATAAAAGAAGGGATCTTTTCTACAGTAGAAAACAAATAAAAGAATTTTATCAAATTGTTATCCTTTTTTTTATTTTTTTTTTTTAATGTGACATCTGTCAAAAACATTCGCTTTTTTAAATAAATCTTGACAACAACTAATTGATATTAATTCGCACAACATTCATATGTGATAAAGTGGTAATCGAAGGGCGAAGTAATAACAGAGAACACGAATCCCTCGCTTTTCACGTTATTTAAAAAAGATTTAATGGAAAAAAAAAAAAAAATCAAAATAAATAATCAAAGTTTTTATTCACCGCTTTTTTGTTTGCTTTGCGCGCCATATGGTCGAAGCAGTTACTACTAAAGACAGTCAATCGTAAACTAAATGTTGAATACGAAAAAAAAAAAAAAAAAAAAAAAAAAAAAAAAAAAAAAAAAAAAAAA